TTTTGATCGCACGATTCTGATCATGATGCTGCCACTTCTTTCACTCAACTTTTTGCTGTTTGGGCACCTTTTATTGACACGGTGCTTCTCATGAAGGTGCTGTATGGATGCCCATATTAATGTATGGAATGGATAAATAATGTACGCGTAATACCGAAAAGAATAATGCCAATTGCTTTTGTAATTAATAGATTATTCATTATTGGTCTGCCACGGTCAGCTTTTTAAAATATATAAAAATTTATTAAAAGTATAAAGAATTTTTATTGTATTATTAATCCTAATTTAACGGTGAATTTTAAAATCTTACCATCTATTTTTTTTTTTTGTCTGATGTGAGTTTTAAACTAAATTTCATGCAACTTAAATTAAATTAATTGATTTTATAAATTAAAATGCAATCTTGATAAATAATAAAAATATAACTTAATTTTTAACAAAACTTTAAAATAATATTTTTTTATTTTTTATAAAAACTATTGAGACAATGACTTATTAGATCGATTTCGGTTCCCAGTCAAATTATATTAGGAACTCTATTGAATTTAATAATTTATATTTTATAAAATAATTTTTTCTTATATGATGAAAATATATGGTCACGAATTGAGTACAGCCTAAAAATAAAAATTTATTTGGAATGATAATAACCTTGAAGAAAGCAAAAACAAATAAATAAATTATACAATTTATTTTTCAAACAATTCAATAATAAAGGTTAAAATCAAGAAAAAAACTATTAAAAAACTTAGCATACTAGAAACTAAAAAAACATTTATAATAACTCATCAAACTTATGAATAGAATAACTCAAGCTAATACATTAAACACGTGAATTGGGTTATAGACTTTTGTGAGATTACAATTTTTTTACCAAAACTATTTTTATTTAACTATATGATACAAAAATATACGATTGCAAAAAAACACATCAACCTAATATTGAGATGTTGTACAAAATCAAGCAGCAAATGAAGATCAAAATATTTAACATCGCAACACAAGTAATTTACCTTATTATGTTTAAAGAAATTTTCTATCAAAATAAATTTATAATAGAAAAACAAATAAAAATTATTGAATAAAAAAAATGCAAGGCTACACATGTGAAAAATATTATAAAAAATAAATTTAATCTATATAAAATTAAAACAAAATCACAAATAAACCATTTCTATCTCTTTAAAAACTAAACACACTCAATATCATTAAAAGTCATCACAAACTAATTAAAACATAAAATCAATTTTTTTTAAAAAAAATATCAACTAATACATTACTTAAAAAAAAACCAAGTTAGGTGCTGCTAGACCTGGTCTAATTATGCAATGGCGACTATATGTTTTTTATTAGAAAAAATAATTGACACATCATCTATTATACATTACTTTAAAAAAAAAAAACCAAGTTAGGTGATGCTAGGCCTGGTCTAATTAACCAATGACGACTATATTTTTTTTTTAGAAAAAATAATTGACACATCATCTATTTATTCCCAAAATCACATTGAAAAACAATATCATTTATTGTTTATCCAAAAACTCATTTTCAACATATTTTTAGCCTAAAATACTGAAGAAACATTCTAGAGATTCTGTTAAATGAATTTATAATCACAAAAAATATAAAAAACCACCTTAAAACCCAAAACTCACCCAAAATAAATAAATAAATAAAACTTTCCAAGCTTAAATGTTTTTCAAGTGTTTTTAAAGTGTTAAAAAATATTACCTAATCTTAACACTTATCATCATATAGACCTATTTAACACAAAAAACTATTGTTTTGGTGGTTAGATTCCTCGCTAATAAATATTCTCTTTTTCTAAACCAAAATCTGTTACCTTTTCTTTTTTCTCCAACAAAAAAAACTAATTACCTTTTCTTTTTTCTCCAACAAAAAAACTGAAAATGAGTAAAATTATATTCGATATAAAAATTGAATTCTATAAAAGTTCAAGGGCCTATAACATAATAAATAAAAAAGATGAGAGACTCAACAGATTTTTTGATAAATATTCTCAATTTATCACCATATTCTCAATTTATAACCTATATTTCATGTTTTTTTCACTAGAATTATCTTTTTTTCAATTCAATCCTTTTTTATAAGAAAATAATAATAATTGGGCATCAATTTAAAAAATTTTAAAAAATAAACTATTTAATTCACAATACAATGTAAAAGGATAAACAATATTTTTGTGAATAATAAAAATACCAGATGTTTTAACTTTACTAGTAATATACATAGCAAAGTAAGTATATTGATACCACTTTTCTATCACGATCTGTTTATAGAGATTTTCACAACTTTTTAGACTTAATATTGCTCAATAACATCCATCACAAAAACCCTTGTGCCAGAGCCAACATTTGTACTGATTCATGAGTGCAACATGTGCCGCTAGGAGAGATACAAGAGGAAATTATTCCCAAGTTGGCTTCATAAGGTCGCTAACAGAGGGGCAGGACCACATTATTGGCAACTCCAAACTGGAAAAAAACACTAATCAAGAAGATAATATGTTTCCTAGAATCATAATCACACCCATTTGTTTAATCCTTCTATTGACTTTTTAACTATAATTTTATCTCCTCGGGCAAAATTTTAATAAACACGGGAAGTTGAGCTAACAGTAGGCAATATGTGGCTATCTGAATACAATAAAAGACACGCTTACAGACACTGGTATTTTTTTTTTTTTTGGTAAGTTTTTACAGACACTGGTATTGCTGTCAATTACACTCCACAAAACCCCAGTCCGCAACTGGAACAGTGGTTAGATCAGCCATGGGCTGTAACTGGACCCATTAACAATTGTTTGGTGGAAGTTGTTCAGAGAAAAAGCTTAATAAATGAACTATTTTTTCTTTTTTGAAAAGGAGGAGGTGGTTGCCTTTGATTCTGTATGTTCTGAGAGGGATAGAGAGATGACGCTCACCTCATTATTGACAGCCCATTACATGTCTTCCCATTAAAGTTGTTTCCTTCCAAAGGCACCATTGCCTTTAATCATTTAATGGGAAAGAAATTCCAGTCCAGAGGTGCCGAGAGAGAAGACCAGCTAAGAGCAATAACTCTCGCAACGAGGGCCACCACCCCATGGGCCAAACCAAAAAACCCTGCCAGGGTTTCATCATTGATCAATTGCTTTCATTTCTCATCCCTTCAATGAAAGTCATAAATCTGTGGCAGTAATGACACTTTCCTTTCTGAACAAATACTAAAACGTTATTTTATTTTATTTGTGATTTGTCGAGTATAATCATGACTACATGTGAGTCCTAGGTTCAATTGACAGGAGTTTTAGGGATCAACTAATTAGTACCATGTCCTCCTATACATTGTTTGGGCCCCAAGTTTTAAGCTTTCGTTGCGTCAATTGCATGTACCATAATTGAGATATAAGTAGGTGGCGAGTGGCATCCTAAATCCCAAGAAAGTTGGCTCAGAGATCATAAAAGTCCATCTCTAAGCATGAAATCACACCTACATCTGCTTAACTGGTACAAAACCTATCAATAATTGAACAAATGGGTAGCGGTCTCGGATAGGTTGAGTTGAATGGTTTGCAAGTCATTCTCAAAACAAGCAACGACTACGATTCCCGAAAAAACAGAGAGTAGGCATACTCTTATTTTCAAGCAGATGTTCCTTGCTGCAATCACCATCACCCTCTCCATGAAAACACCAAGTAGAGATTAAAAATAAAAACATGTCACCACTGCACTCCTGTAAGAACAAGCTTTCTCTTTTATTTTAAGCATCGCAAAGACAAACGAGATTGGTACAAGTTAGAAAACTCCGTTTATTCGGACAGAACCTAAGAGCATTATAAAAAAATATAGTTCCAAGTTGGCTTATCTCATGATTGCTTGGATGGTTATAGCGACAAAGCAGTACTGTAATTAATAGAGTCTCGATGAATTTAACTCGAAGTGAATACACATGAATATTTGATTATTTCCTTTTTCTTTTCGGATCAATCAATTTCTTGTTTTAAGCTGTGATAAGCATTGTAATTACGATTATTGATAATAATGACTGTAATCACTTCAGTCCATCATCATCATGCATGCACCTGCAAGGTGAAAAATTAGGGGGGAAAAAAACAGTTCAGGCAGCTTCTTGAAAAAGATTTTAAGGTCATCTTTCATTGTAATTTTGGACGTGGTCGCAATCAAGGGAAAGCAATATCATAATCAAAAAAATTATTATATCGATAATGGTATCATTGTATCAAGTATGAACATCGATGAATCATGGATGATATACAGAAAAAACATAATTAATTAGAACAAAAACAGGAAAGGTTAATGGAGGTTCTTGGCTCTCATTAATAATTTCAGAACGAAAATATCAGGTTGGGTGTTTCTCTCATGGAACGTTTGGTTTTCCATGATTGGTATAATGTTCCCTCTCCCGAAAACTTAATTTCTAAATTTTGCTTTTCCGAATTTGTGTACCTTTTACTGTAAACATAGGTAACCCATGGATCGGGTTACTGATGCTTCTGTTTTTTCTCCCTCTATTTCAACGGATGCAAAGTAAATAGTCCAACAGGCCTGTAGTGGACCAATTATTTGGAGATTTGATTGATCCTCGAGAGCTTCATGATTTTTTTCCAGGTGAGCCCGCCTTGTAACGTTAAAAATTGGCAGATTAAAAGCAAAAAGGTTTCTTGATATTTTCATGCGTGTCTGCACTTGTGTATTTATCTTTCTTCTGCGTCGGTCAGTGTTTTATCAGGCCGCATGGGTGCAAGCTCAGAGAAGTTGCATTTGCATTGCTCCTCTTCATTTGATGACGTTTTTGCTGAGGAAATATTATATATTTCACACCAGAAAATCAGCCCCTCGGGATAAGCAAGCGACATGTCGGCATGTCTAAGGGGAGATGGCTTCTATGTGAGGGCCATATTATGCTAAAAGAGCCCAGGTAGGTCTAGAGCAGGCTCCAGCCTTTGCTGCATAGGTGCATAAAAGCTGGCTGCCCTCCTAAATGGGCCTGTAGTTCTCCACGATCCTTGTAGAATAAGAGCAGGTGCAAAAAAGGGGCTGGGCAATTGCTGGCTGCCCTCCTAAATGGGCCTCTAGTTCTCCACGATCCTTGTAGAATAAGAGTTTTGATGTCAAACAAATCAAAACAGGAGGAAGAAAGAACAACAAGGTGACTTCTTGTCATTGAAGTATCATTTGACTATTGTCTTGTTTGACACAAGAACGACGTGCATTTAAAAAAATAAAAATAAATTTACTTTAAAATAATCCCAGAACAGATTTATTTTTATTTTTGTTTTTATTTTCCTGTTTTAACAACCTTTTGTCTTTTTTGGATATATGTACCCTAATACAAGTGTATACTATAGCATATATTGTATCGCTGACATTGTAAACATTAATGTATATGCGCAATCAATAACATTGATTAATAAATTGCCAAGATTGTATATACAAGTACACATAACAATTTCAAAAGCCTTCAATACATTTTTAAATTTATTTTCTTTTATAAGTAGATTCAAGCATGTTGGTATTTGTCTATATACATACAAACCAAATCATAATGAGCGGGATTAACAATGATGCATGGGACCTGATATTGTTTGGATTGAAACTGGAACCACCAGTTTGAATAGGCTTGCAATGCGCCCCCTGGATGCACACATAGCCTTTGTTCGCTTGTGATGCCTTGCCACTAGCGTTCACTTTGGGCTCACTCCATGTCTTGCTTGTTGTGGGTGATGGGCTTGAACCAGTAGAAGGGCTTGTTGTTGGTGATGGGTTTGAGTCAGCGGACGGGCTTGCACCAGTATATGGGCGTTTTGTAGGATATGGGCTTGAACCAGTTGATGGACTTTTTGTAGGGGACGGGCTTGAACCAGTGGATGGGCTTTTTGTAGGAGACGGGCTTGAGCCAGTGGACTGTATAATGCAAGTAAGCAAAAGACGAAAATGAATCAGTAAAATGCAATGGCATAACCTTGCAAATAGCGACTGCTGTGACAGGGGAGAATCTGCCTGCTAGCCAGTTCAGTCCAATAAGAAATTAATCAAGTGTGTGCACGTGTTCTCCTTACTTCCTCAGATCGTTGACAGTAGTAATTTAAATATTAATCAAGTTTTTTTTTTTACAAGGAGTGAAGTAAAGAACAGTGATAGCTGCAAAGAAGCGAAACAAAGAGAGAGACAGATCAAAGGGAAAAGCAAGTGAAGAATATTATTTAGACTCCTTCAAAAAAAAAAAAATTCAGTTTTATCGAATATGGTATGACATTTTTAGATTACCTATCATAATGTCAATATTATGTTTCATATACACGCAATTTTTGTTATGTTCATACACATGATCGATCTCCTATCCATGTTAATCATGCAAGTGATCAAAGCAATGTCTCAATAAGAATCAGTCATAGATCGGGTTTTTGAAAAAAAAATTATCCATAGATATAAATAGTTAAATTGAAATCACTACCCAAAAGGTGCAAAGAAGATTTCTATAAAGAAGCAAAAAGGTGGCGTATATACTTCATACCTTTCCAATATTGCTCAAAATGCCAACATCATAAACCGGGCTAAAATCTGGCCTAAACAAGCCCCAATTCCTCTCTGCGGCTGTTCCAGGCTTAAGATTCTCATTAAACAATGCAAAAACATATGTCTCGAACCGCCGTTTGGGCATTAAAGGAGTCCCCTCCCCCGAAGTAACAACCTTAATCATGTTCTTATTATATAACACTGCGTTCTCCACAGTACACATGGGCTGGTTTGGGTCGCCAAGTGAGGGCCAACCGGACTCGGCCACAACAATGTCCAAGTCATCGTAACCCATGGCCTTTATTGCCGAATAAACTGCATCCATCATTGCAACGAACATATTAGTGTAGGTAATGTTGGTGTTGTCGTCATGGAAACCAGGGTTAGGCTTGAAAAGGATGTAGTCTTCCATGCTCCGAGCGTAGCTAAAATAAGGGTATGGGTTAACCAAAAGGGGTGATTTGGTTTGACGTAGAAATTCGAGCATGGGTGCAAATACGACTTTGCCATAGGCAGGCTTAATCCGGGCAGCACTTGGTTGCACAGAAGTTTGCAAGATTCCAAGGGTGTAAGGAGTTGACACCTGCATAATTAAATTACAAAAAAAAGTAATGCTTAAATACTAATTTTAAGATCGAGATGTATATTGCTATGTTTAAGAATAAATGAGGATACACTTACACTCAATAAGAAATTGAAAATAACTAAAATTCAATGTGTATGAAATACGTTTCACATAATGTATATACTTTTAGGAACAATTTTGTGGAAATGAACATTTTGGCTTTCTTGGTGATAAAGAAAACCTTATTTGACTTGTATTGCAGTTCAAGGTATATATAGCCTTAAAATGATATGTTGAATTTTCTGATATTATTTTCATGAATTCATGTGAATGAATATAAATCATGCACGAACATATTCCCAGGACAGAGAAATTACCGGCAAAATATATTTCAAGGAAAACTGGAAAAAATAACGGATTACCAATCGACTATTTTGATGAATATATATCGTCCATGTATTGACAATGGGGAAAAAAAGAAAGAAAGAAATATCTTACCTTAACATCGTTGATCCCAGCACGGACAAGAGCCTGATGCAAGGACTTCATGCAGGGTACAAGATGAGAAATCCACTCCTTATTACCAGAAAACAAGATTTCATTGCCAACAGCGATGAGTTTAATCCTTGTCTGTGGATAAAATTGCTCGATATTGTTAGCAACCCATCGGCCGGCGGCATTTGCATCAACAAGAGCAGGAATATCACCATTACCAACGGTTACAGTCACGGTAATGTTTGTGTTGGCAAAACCGCGAAGAATGTCAGGATTGGTGTCAAAGATTTTGATGCTATCAATAATTGTTTGTGTTTTAAGGAAGCTGGCCACCTGAGATGGTGATGGCAGATCGTTGGCCAGGGTACCATAATTGACACCAATCGAAAAGGCTGTGGTGGAGAGGTGGAGGAGTGTGGAGAGGTGGAGCAGGGCGGTTGTGATGGACGTGGTGGTAGTGGCGGTCATGCTTTTAAGGCTTTCTTTCTTTCTTTCTTTGATCTCCTCCTCCCAAGAGACAAGGAGGAGATGTAGGAAGCTATGAATATGTTTATATAGATTGGGGGGTTAAAGGATGTGAAAAACTATGAATATAACACACACACATTTGTTTTTAATCAGAGTAGACGTAGAGCCAGTTAATTAGGATAAGTAGTAAAATAAATAGATAGGACCAGCTGGGATGTTTGACATTTTACGAAGATGGACAGATTTTTGGAATGAAAGATACTTGGCTATTTCCTTCTCAGAGGTAAATTTAAAATATATAAATATTCTCATAAATTTCTTGGCATCCTCCATGACAAGTTAAATTTAAAAAGAAAGTGCTTTTTTAGCATAAATGTCATGTGATTACATTAGATAATTTAATTATTTATAAAATTATAAATATATGAAATAATACCAGCCATCTATTGGATAGAATTTGAAAAGTCGGGATTTAATTAACGTGGAATTAATATACTAATTTAAGGAAAGTCCAATACAGTAACAACGAGGCATCCACACAAAATCTCAAACGACCACGAAGGAAAGACGGTCACACGCATTATTTATTATTATGAAGGCCTCTGGCTAGCAGAGCTTGACAGCGAAAATCTATCTGGAATATTTTACTTCCATGATTCATAAATATTTTACTTCAACGTATGATATGATTAAAACATTTGGTCTAATTAACCTCTTATAATGGCAATGACCCTAAACTTTCTTGAGGAATTAAGTTTTGCACTGCCACCACTTACATCTGATTATTTACAATTTTCACCATCAACTTTTGCTTCCTTGTACCAAAACCCATAATTGATAAAAAGTTTTAATTTGAAACAATGTGGTCTCAAGCCATTGTGCAACTCTTATCGTTGGAGATGGAGAGTAATGGTCATCAAAAGCAAGAACGTCCCATGGGGAGAAATGGAGATCAAAACCAGGAACGGACAGTGGAAAACCAGATTGGAGATCAAAGGCTGGAGACCTTTAATGGTACTTACTCGTCAAGGTCTCCTGCTACAATGACCACCTTGGCTAGAATTAAGCCAAACCGCCGCAGAGCCCCACAACCAGGGAGCACGCGCTCCTATTTTGACAACACATCACCTTCATATGGGTGGTTGCTGCTGGATGGGTAGCTGAGGAAAGGGTCATGGAGAGTGGCAGGCTCTATAAGGTAATCCCTTTATATAACCCTCATGCACATACATGAACTTGAAGGTCGACTATATATTTCTCGGTTAATTCCTATATATCACGCTTTTTTTTTCTCTTTTTTTTTTGGAATAAAATCTTGCGCTTAGCTCATGATCTCTCCTATGGATTTATTATGTTAAAGGGTTTTTATATTTTCAGACATGATATTAGTGTTGTGTGATATGATAGCGTCTAGGTTATTTAGATAAGTTACATCCTTTAATATTGTTGACAAATCGATTTCGGCTTCGCCTAGCCGATGATTCATTAAGACTCTACAATGAGAAATAGAAAGTAAAAACTTGATATAGAATTGATTGGTGGATTTTCATTTTAGAAACTCTTATCACACACCACACACACACACCGAGGGAACTGTTTTGAGTCTCTATAGTGCACTATACGTAATGGTTTAGGTTGAAAGAAATTAATCAAGATGTTATAGCTAGAACAAAAATTGATCATATAAATCAAGAAATTACATTTTACAAGACTTCAACGTATGATATGATTAAAACATTTAAAAAGAATTGAGTAAGACATGAACTTTGGATCTATCGTTGAAGGTTAATTAATAATAAAATCTATTGTTTATTAGAATCTATATATATATATATATATATATATATATATATATATTACAATCTAGTGAATGATACATTGTCTAAAGAAGAAAAAGACGATCCATTCCATCATTCCAAGCTCTAACGTTTTTTTGTTTGCAGAATGAAAGTTGATAATATGAGTTCTTTCTAATCTTTTTCCAAATCTTTCTACTCATAGTGGAAAGTATCTTAACATTTTTGTGCAGTACTTCTATGATCCATCCAGGAAGAAGTTCGCTATTTATGGGAAGAGGCAGGGCTGATAGTTCTCGACCTGTGATGATCAGGTAAACTACTCATTTCATTCCACCCCTAAAAAGCTTCCACGTTAGGCAGTCTTATACATTACTCTTTGATGGACAAAAGGATCAACTTCTGAAATATTTCACAGTTGTGTTTATCTTAATTTGTGCTTCTGTTGTCCACTGTCCTGATATACATTTTTGTGTTGTTCACTGGAGGAACTAGCACTCAAGCTCGTGAAAAGTTGCTTGATGGTGGAAGAGAAAGGCATACTTTGGATTTATAACTTTTCAAGTTGCTCTATGTTTTCTGTTTCTGTTGTGTTCTCGGGAGTAATAAGTTGCATGGTACAATTAAGGCAACATTGACATTAAAGCTTTAAGAGAAGGTGTCTAAACATTCTTAAGAGTCATGCACCATCTATGAGTATTGTTTTTAGCAGATTACTGCTGTTGTTTTCTTTGATTAAGTTGGCTATGCCGATCACCGGATAGATCTGTATTGGGACTGAAACGTCAACCGATATCCTGCCATGGTTAAACGGTATCAACTAAGAGTCTCCATTCTCCAATTTTCCTTAGATGGAGCTTTGCTAATTTTCTTAATCCTCCGTAGAATCGACTTCTTATAGTTACATGCTTCCACTGTCTGTTTCGGTCCCTTGCTCATTTTCCCTCTGGATTTAGGTCACCTGGTTAACCACGATTTATGTATTTGTCTGGACACGGGTTTTCTTCGAGCAAGAAACTCTTTCAATCTTGTGGTGGGATTTTAAACAGAATTGCGTGTCTTCCAAGCAGAGACCATGGAACTCGTTCATGTGAGCCAAACCGCATACATTACGGAACATGACTGCAACAGCAGGTAAAATTAATAGGATCCGGCGCAATCAATCACACTGTTTTGGTCCCACATGAACTAATTTTCCTAATGCTCCTGGTGTGGACAGAGATTCTGTTTCAACGAAATACATATATCGTGTTCACTAGAACTGGAGAAGTCAAGAATCAAGATCCGTTTAACTAGGTCCACTATCGCCAGAGCCCATTGATGAAGCAGGCTCGTATTCGACTATCTCACAGTTCTTAGTACTCAAAAAATCAAAATGAAAAAACATGTAGGCTCATTTCAAACTTTCTAAGCGTCTGGCTTCTAATATAACCTACTGCCCAGCTACAAAAAGGTGAGAAAAATAGAAGCAAGAGTTCAGCAGGGGCCAAATCAAATAAAGAACTCGACCTTTTATTCGACTAGTTCCAGAAGGTCTGCCTTTGCAGGATTGCTAACTGCTACCACACAATTGTATAATCAGTCAAAATCAGCTCCCTCTATCCTTCGCTAAAATCAACAGCTGATGCTTATTGACATGTACATCATCGAATGCAGGCAGCGGGTTCCCCAGACACTTGAACTTCTGCACGACCACCTCACAACAGAGCCAAGACGGCACAAAAGCGTAAACAGAAAGGATGCTTTAATGAAGTTGTGAAAGCACAACAATGGATTCTCTTCCCAAAATAAAGCCAACTGGCAGCTATGTAATACAGCCAAAAATACTTAGCAGCTTACAGCTTGTACAGCTAATTCGAATCTAAATTAGTTGACCGAACAGAATAAACAAAGACCTGATGATCATCCTGAAAACGAAGTCCCAGGTCAACTGAAAGCCATCTGAATACGACTGGGTCATGTGCATGGAATTTATTATATCTATTATTAAAAATTGCACATGGGAAACGCGTAAGAGAAACATTTGTTCCACCCCTTAAAAAATCCCAACGATTCTGATTTCACATGGTATTTGCTGACGATCCATAAGTTGAGGATGCCATCTCCAAAAGTAACAGGGCAATACAAGAAGATAAGATAAAAAAGAGCAGTAGGTATAACTAAACATCTGAAGCAAAAATATATTAATTCGTAGCATAACTCGGATTTTTTCAGCACAAATACATATTCATAGGGAAAAAGTAACAAAAATTCCCTGGCCATAAAAAAAAAAAGGCAAGGAATGTATTCAAGACAAAAAAAAAAAAAAAACAAAAACAAAACAGCAATCTATGTAAAGATGCACCTTGTTGAAGATAGTACTTTGTATTTGGCTGAAGTTGCTGCCATGAGGAATCTAGCGCCCAAAAACAAGATACTGTCACTTGATGCAAATGAACGAAAAATCAAAATCGATGTTTGATCTCCCAGCTTGAGATGAAACAGGAAAATGAAGATATGTTCGGCAAAATGGCGTGTAATTTTCATTTGTGTCCCCTTATACGAAATGGCTCTTCATTTTGGTATACACTCATTTATCCGATGGAACAAAGAAAAAGAAAGAAAGCCGCAATACAATTACTCTCTCAGAAAAGGAAAAGAATTTGCATTTCTCGGACAAAACTCTATACACTTCAAAGAGCCCTGAATAAGGAGTGTCTCCGCCTCTCAAACTTCACCCTCCAGTTATTATCACTTTTAATAGGCTTCACGAATCGTTCTCCTTCCATTTCAAATTGAAGTGAGGACGGCAGACTCTTTAAATGTCCACTGCACTGCTTATGGTCCGAAGAATCGCCACTGCTAAAATTCTGTTCACCTGGATCAAACTGTCTCTGGTACGGTGAGTGCCATTTTGCTTGCAAATAAGCCAGAGACCTCCAAGGTGGAAGAGGCATCGAATTTTGCTTGAGAGAAGATCTAGCTGCATCGGCCATGACTTGAAGATACTGTTTTAACCTGGTCAAGGAGCCTACATAGATGACTGGAAGCGACTTCAATATTCTATCATAAGAGTCCACAGCTCTGGCTATTTCAAAGTGGCTTCGGAAGTCAACATCAATGATAACACGCTCAGAGCTTCCAGCATTGATGCAGTTGACCACGTCAATATATTCATGATCCCCTGCCATATAGTATAAGAACCAATTCTCAGAAACAGAATGCAAACGCAGCTACATGATACAAGATAAAATAGGCATGTTCCAAATAAGATCACAAGAAGGTCCTCCCTCCAAATCGACCATCACAAGATTCACAAAAAAACAACTTGACCATAAAATCCAGATTAAATCATTTAAGGGGTACATGTTGGATATTAGAACTTGAGGTCAGGATTATCTAGTGAAAACAATGTTCAACTATGAAGGGTCGTTCAAGCCCCAGTGAACATGCAAGATCATCAAATAAATGCAAGAGTGAGTGCTTAGGCAAATCAAAGACTTCCCAGAAATAAGATTTATATAGCTAGCAGTTTCAGAAAAAAAAGCTGCCAAATCTCTCATTTGCATTGCATCATAAAGGTTTGAAATTAGTGGTGAATGATGGTGGCAATTCCCTCAATCAAATCTAGTCAAGTCACAATAACCCTCTGCACCTATAGCCCCTCAAAGAAATGTTAGAACTACAACTTAAGAACAAGATCGCATACCTCTTGGCACCTTGCCACTACCCTGCCACTTGGATGCACAAACAGCAGCATCATATCCTGAAAGTCTCAGCAGTTTCACAAGAGAAAAATTGATGCAGCTTGCGTTACAAGGACCTGACTTGACATGATGAAGGTCTGACTCCTTGATCAATTGCACAAGAGAATGAACTATGGACAACAAGTCACTCTCATACTGGGCTACAGTGCGCTTGTAAAACTGCAAGAGCAGCAAATAATCAGCGAAATTCTATATGATCAAATGGTAAAATCTTGAACAAGAACAGGAGTTAAAATGCATCAATATAGTCTGGTAGATAGACTGCATGTTGTAATTTAAATACAATTCCAAGATTCGCGAGGAAGTCGTCAACTGCACCTGTTGAAACCATACTGGGGAAAAAAAAACAAGAGTTGCCATTTAAATAAAATTGCTGATTCCAGAGACAGCCATCACGGTATATACTAGAGGAGATTCACACAGGCAGACATGAGAATAGCTAATCGTCACGTGCACTTCAGTTTATGATCTCACAGAATGTAATTGAGATTTCTGTTTTTTTTTTCTGTACAAAAATTCCAATTTGATTAATTTTACAAGCAATCACAGAAATTATACCACAAAACTAGAATTTTGTGGTGATCCGAGAAGAGAGAGACAAGAGCTATGCTATATAGAACGAATCTTTTGACACGGGCACATAAAAATGGCACCATTTACTATTCTCACGAATTCGTGAGCTGAATCATTTCTCGAGAGACAAGTATCTACAATTGTCAAATCTAAATTTTCTTTTCCTCACAAATTGCAAAATTCAACTCAATTTTAGTGAGAAATTATAACATAAAAATTACTTCAATTCATTCCTCCATTTTTCAAAGGAAAACAGAACCAGTGAAATTTATCTCTCTTCCTCGTAATATAAACCTAACAAAACGAAGAAAAAATAACAAATTTATTTATAAAAAAAAATAGAAACGATTTCTCAGACTTCCACGAATAGAACACAGGCAAAAGAAGAAGATAAATAAACTTAAAACAATTCAATTCTTTATGAATTGAGCTCGATTTCATTTATATATATATATATATATAAACTTCAATGAATTCTAAACAATTATGAATGATTCTATGCAATTCTAGTGTGAGGCGAGGAGGCAGTAAACTGGTGAAACGTGTGAATAAAAGTTACCGAAATCTTGTCGCCAAGGTGGTGAAGATCAGAGAGACCAGAATCGCTATCGCTGCTACACCTGGAATCGGCACCGGAGCTACAGCCGTTCTCGAGAAAATCGCTAACCATGAGAGCCAAATCATGTTCACTCTCGTGGCTAAATCCTCCTCCTATTTTTCCCACAATCCCTCTTGCCCCCCAATCTCCTGTTGCCGTCGCCGCACACATCATCAATCCAGAACAATACCGTTTTCTCTATTTCAAAATCACCAAAAGTATGGAAAGACAACTAACCGAATCATGGAATCTATAAATAAAATTTTAATTTTGTACGTTTCTTTGTGGTCGTAAAAACGAGGCCTAACGATTCCGCTTCGAAGTTGTTCAAGCTTTTGGTTGAGTTAAAGGCGCAAGGAGAGGAAGAGGATTGAGTTTTTTTTCCTTTCTCTTGGGGCGAAGCTAAAACCCAGAAGGAAGGAGGAAGGAGAGAGGAAGAGGAGTTTGAAAGGAGGTCGAGAAATGACAGGCTAAAATATCCTCAGACACAATACAGAGAGAGAGAGAGAGAGAGAGGGAATCGAGGGGGTGGGGATGGAATTACGGGAATATCCTTAGATATTATTTTACTTTGTGGCCAAGTAACTCCTCGGATTTCCAGAGGGGATGAGGTGGATAAAGAGGACAGATGATTAATGATAAATCAATTCGGGATGTGGTGGAGTTAAGTACTTTATTCGCTGCTGCTCCTGGTTTTTAATGATAACGAAATTATGAATTGATTCTCTCGGGTCTTTTACCGGTACATTTCTCCCCGGCAAGTGAATCTTCATCGTGAATATATTGCAATTCGAAAGGAGGGCAAGGGTTGATGGGCAAAAATATCCTCGGACATTAGAGAGAGTCAGGGGGTAGGATGGACTTCTAGAGTGATACTTGCATAATAACGATAAACAATGATGAGTTCTTATTATATAATTTTTATTATGAAAAAAATAGGTAATATCCGGGCCATCTTTTAAAACCAAAGAAACACGGCATGTTGATAGATTTTTTTGTATTTTCCCTGTAGAAAACACGGGAGTCATTGTAGGTTTTAGTTTTTTTTTAATTATTATTCTTTATTGAGTATTTTATATGTATTTAGGGTTATGATGGGTACGTGTTTTACAGAAATACGTTTAGATAAAAAGAAGAAAATGCATTAGATTAATATTTTTTTAGATGTTTTTTAATATTTTCAGCATTAATATAACAATATTATCTAAGAGAGTCTAGAAAATCAAGATGTGTACTGAAAAACATTTTAAAATACAATATAAATACATTAACAAACATTGTAAACTTGTTGCAATTTGCTGGGTGGGTGTCTTAATTTTGTCTACCCAACAATTCATTACGATGTTAAACTTCCTTATTGCAAATAGTTGTATCGATGCATGTAGTGGTAGCCTTCTGACATTTCAAATATTCTTGAAATTAATTTAATTAGTTTCTCGAAAACTATTAATGTCGCCTGCTGATCTTGTAAAGGTATACAAGGTGTTCATATCCCATTTGGCACGACGTACAGCTCCTGTTAATTATCAATAAATGGTTTTATATCAACAAATGAATAGTTAAGAATTATAATCGAAACATTAAATTTGACACTAAAATAGTATTGAACAAATAATATATTATCATCACAATTACTAACAAAAACAGCAAGATGTGCTGATATTTTCCCTGGACTGGAGTGGAGGTGTCAATTCGAACGGGGTTAGATAACATAGAAGGGGAAAAACTAAACACAGTGGTTCAAGATAATATCAGTTCATAGACTGTAGTATTTTGTCATTCATGTTAATTTATTTTTTAATATATAAAAAATTAAAATATCAGGTATCAAACCTGATTTAATAGATGAGTATTATTAAAACCTCATGATATGACTTCCTATCTAGTATAGGTTTAATATTAAAATACATAAAAGTTACGGTGATATGATTTGTCGGTACAAAATCATCTTATTTAACTGGTAAAAATATATTTAGATAAAACTAAAAAAAATAATAAAATAGATTTTAAAAGATTTCATGGCTCAATTTTTTACTTGATTGAAGTTTAAAATAAAATAGTATATAAGTTATCTTAACATGATTTCATTGATTTAGTATATTTAAATATAATTTTGATGATCAATAAAAAAAATTTATAAGTAAAATAAAATAAAAAAATTGATATGAAAAAAATATTTATCAAATTATTATTTAAATATTTATCAAAAAATGAAATTAAAATTTTAAAAACTGAAGGAAAAAAAAGAAGAAGCTAGACTGGGAAAAAGAAATCACTATTTATAGGAAAAATAAAACTGCATAATGATTTCTAAGTTTTTTTTTTTTTTTTCAGTAGGAAGTGATAACAAGAAATGGCAGGGAAAGTACGATGCTTTAACAAGGACACAGCATTTCGGGCTCGAGGAGCAAGTCACCATGCAACTTGGATTAAACAGCTGAACAAATCAAAAGTACTCACGGTCATTGCCTGAATGGAAAATGACGTAACTTTCGCGGCTAACTTCTTCTTACGTGAGCCGCTCCCCAATAATTGACCGGTGACTTGGCTCTTTTTCCTCTTCCCTCCCTAACGGATATTTGATCGAAGTTTCGCAAAATTTTAATTATTTTTACTCCAAATTATTTTGATATCTTAATGTTAATTATTTTGAAAAAAATAAAAATATATTTTAATATATTTCAAAAATAATTTCAAAAAACAACTTTTTAATTCATTTAAAGGACAACTAATAATATAAAGAAGTTAATGTCCAACTTATTAAAGAACAAAAAAAACCAAGTTTATAGTAAGGAGTTTGATGGTAAAAGCTTGAAAAGATTTGTATATTTATTAACTTTAAAACTCGTTAAATTAATTAAAGTATATGTAAATTTAACTAAATATTCATATTAATAATAAAAAAAATCTAGCTTCAACTTAAAACCACTATGTACCGTGCTCTGGAGGGTTTGGTTGTCGATCAAACTGAAAACCAACGTTATTACAAGCTGTTATACAAAAAAAAAATCTAGCTTCAACTTAAAACCAACGTTATTACAAGCTGTTATACATGATTCAAACTTTTAGGATGACGATGATGTTTTTAAACACGTACTCGGTTAAATATTGCCCGTTGCCAACGACGCTTTGCAGATGAGAAATCACGTTCACTCTTCCCTTCTCCACCAAACCCCTGGTCTTCACACGAGTGCACATCCACACAATAAACTAAACTGGTCGAAATCAATAGTAATAAAAAAATGACAAGTCAATATTCATTGATCGGTATACTAAAATGAGATTACATTCACCATATCCTTCGCATGCACAGGTAGCTTGTCATCGACTATATGGTAAGAAAGGGCAACCGTTACTATTCTTTAATTATTTTAAAGTATTTTAACCGAGGAGTTAACAAGGTACAACTAATTCCTAACTAGAAAAACATCTTAATAGTTAAATTTAATATTATCCATTTATTGAGATCTCGAAAGTAAAGGGAGAAAGAAACAAGGTATAAGTTGACTATTGAAAATCTTTTATTCTGAGGAATGGATATTGGGAGCCTGTTTATTAACAAAAACAATATACAATTTTCCTTTTCATTTTCAGTTTTCTTCTCAATTTCTAGTTTTCTTTGTGAAAAATGTGTTTATTTTTTGAAAACAAAAAAGAATCTTAATAATTGTATTTGTGATAATCTAATTATAAAATATTTATTTCATTAAAATCAAAATTAAAAATTATATATCATGAAAACATTATACTTATTAGCTCAAAAAAAGTAAATATCTAGTACTATAGTTTTAATACAAAAATAAATTTATGACACGTACCAAATATAAAGATATTAATATAGTATTTGTTGAAATTTCTAATTTCTTTTTAATTTGAAAAAAAATGAAGAAACTCATAAAGAAAAATTGTGAAGAACCTAAAAATGTATTTTCTAAACCTGGTATAAATTTAAAAAATTGTTTTTTATTTATCAAATGGAAAAATATTACATTTGAATAGAAAGTTTTAAGTTTTTCTTTTTTAATTCTATTTTTTTCAAAAAGTAAATTATTATTTTATTTATATACAGTTCCTGAAAATTACCAATGATGCTTGTTCTTTTTTCCCAGTTTTTTTCGAGCGGAGCTGCTTAAGAAAAGCACAATAAAAGGAAAAAAAGAGAAAAAGAAGAAGGCCCTGTCCTGCACAAGCTTGGCTATGGTGGGTCCGCAGGCTAGTGGCAGTATCTGCCTCTTTAAAGAAATTACGACACTTGCCACTTCTGCAAATTGCAATTAATCACTGGCCAATAATTGACCAACCCAACTCAAGCTTTAAAAAGCTGGGCGGCCAATTAAGACCCGGCAAGAATCCTATGAGGTCTGTTCTTACAAGTTTGAACTCTTCTGGACCTCTCCCGATTTCGTCCACGTGGGAAGAGGACCATTTTAGGTAAGAGAAGAAAAATGGTTACAACTTCGTGAGAGATCTTAACATTGGGGTCGGTGTTAGGCTGCCGTCAACTGGTAAGTTTGAAGTAGTTGGCTGGTAAGATTATGGGATTATTTGGGACTGAGGTAGTCTTTGTAGTTTAAAATGGTTTTTATTTAAAAATATATTAAAATAATATTTTTTATTTTTTAAAATTATTTTTAAGATGAGTAAATTAAAATAATTTATAAATTTATAAAAAAATTAATTTTTAACAAAAAAAATTAAATTTTAAATAACACAATTTCCGTTAAGATTCCAAAAATATCTCTAGATGCCTTCTTTTGAGAGGACCAGGCGTCAACATAAAAGTAATAAATTGTTTAAACTTTACTTTCTAATTGTTCGTGGCATTGTATATTTGATACAGTTGTATTCCATATTTAAGATTTTTTTTAATTTTTAATATAAACATATTAAAACCAAAAAATATATATTTAATATTTTTTGAGACAAAAAACAAAAACTATTGCACCACTAAACAATCTCTTCCCATACTTTACTTTACAATAACTACTTTTTAATGTATATAATGTCACAAGTCATATTTAATTTATTGAAATATATGATTAGACTGATTAAATAAGTAGCCAACATAAATTATTGATTATGTAAATCAAAAGTTAATCACATGTGGTTGAAGCATACGTTACTTATCTAAATTATTGATTTTATATATAAAGGTGAAATATTTTTATATATATAAGAAGAGTTGTAAATACAACAAAATAAGATAAATGAAGACACGTTCAGTTTCAAATAAAAAAAAAAGATAACAATAAAAAATATATACTAACATTAATTGAAATTAATTAAAAAATTGACCATATTACCTTAAGATCACTAAAACTAAAAATGGAACATCTTAATTTAAATTATTTTTTCTATAATACTAACTAGAGATGTGTTTGTCTTATTAATTTTTTTTTGTATGAAACTAACTAGAGATGTGTTTTTTTCGCATACAATATTTTTGTAAAAAGTAATTAGTTTATTAATATATTTTTTTGAAAATCAATTCA